CCGTCATTTGGCACAGCCATATCTATAATTTCAGCCACCTTAATATTGCCGTCAATTAACACAATATCAGGTCCGTTGTGAATCACGAGATGGTCTATTATAAACGATTGATTCCAATATAATTTTAAGCCATCTTTCTGGCAGAGACCTTTAGGGCAGTATTTATAGTAGGGCACCGAATCGTTTAATAATTTACTTTTTACCTGGTGATAGACTTTGGCAACATCGTCGTGTCTTTTTAGGTATTCTGTACCTGCATATTACATTATTATTATTATAAGATTGATCATCAGACTTATTATTATATTGTCCGGATACTAAGTCGACAACCAACATACAATAATCCTCCAGAGCTGAAGAGCAGAGGAGAGGATGCCGGAAGAGAGGGGGGGGGGAGTGAAGTGGGAGGTGCGGGGGTCAGGTCCAATCAATCAAGGGACAAGTGGTCGGCTAATGACGTCACGCTAGCCCTTACCTCTCCACTCTGCTCTCTCTTCTTAGCAGCTATCTCTTAGCGGTTCATACTGTTCACTTTACAGTCTATTTTTATCTTAAAATAGTAATAGTAGTTAGTAATAGTAAAATAGTAGTTCGAATCAAGATGTAATTCTCGACTTTCTTGGACAACCACGTTGATGTAAAAGTAACATTACCTTCCCAGTTACAAAGAAAAATAAATAAAAGGTTATTCCAATTATTGGACTAAACTTTTTTTTTAATAATTAGTAATATGCTAAAAAAAATAAAAAAAATAGCATTACTTCAGTAACACATTCAAAATTTAAAAACAAAAACAAAGGATATAACATTTGCAGTAGAACATATTAAAAAACTATAGGCCATATCTTAATCTTAGGGCTCCTAATTGTCCGATTTTAACTATTTTTTTTTTTTTTTTTAACCTTGTGTAAACTTTTTGAGTTATTCGGAATTTAATTTTATCATCCTCGTAATTTTTTTTTCAGCTTCTTTTCGTTGAAATATGTTATATAGATAAATTTAAAGGGCGTCGAGAAAATGACTTAAGCGAAGTTTCATTAAAATCTGTACATTCGTTTAGGATCTATAGTCTACAGCAGCGCAGGTTTTTCGGCCGCCATTTGGAACGTAAAAGGAGGATAGTATTGTCGATGAAGGAGGATCATCCTCGGGTGACTTCTGATTTTATATCACAATTTGAAAAAAATGTGTCCAGTAGTCCGGGGAAAATGCGCGGACGGCGGACGGACAGAAAAATTTGTATTCGTTTTTCGAATTCTACGCATCCTGAAACGTGAAACCTCAAATTTTGAGAGGGGGTTAAGTTTTTGAATTTTTTGGTCGATCACAATGGTTCATTATTGAAAATAACAAAAAAAAAAAAAAAAAAGAAAGAAAGAAACTCCCTATATGACAAGTTTACGTGATTCTTGGAGTCCTACGAAATGTAATTACACCAACAATAATAGTTTAAGAGATAGTTTTTAAAACATGATTATATTTTTACCATTTGCGGGTGAGGGGGCTTCAACCCGAAAGCTCCTCCCCGTAGATCCGCCTGTGATGGTAGGGCAAATATATGTGTATCTCTATTTATGAATATTATGAATTAGATAGAGTTAGAATTAGATTTTTAAAAAAAGAAATGTATAAAAAAAAGAATGGAAAAAAATTAATGAAAATAAAAAAACGTCTGCCAAGTGAGGTCCCAGCATAGCTTTCTCACCATTTCCCATGGTTCCACACTTAACTATATTGGTTCCGCACTTTAGTAAGCAAACTTGTCCATTAGGCTAACATGTTTCGATCTATTATCACCACAAAAAGTTTCATTGAAATCGGTGACCACACGCCTGGCCTGTAACCTCTCTTTGTTAAAACTTATTTCAGTGTTAAATAAATTTACGATTGTAAGTTTTGAGTGATGAACAAGTCACTGAATCAAATGACACTTTTTAAAAAAAAAAAATTAGAGATAAATTAAGATTTAATTCGTAAAGACACCTGAAGTGGGTAGGAAAGGATAGGTATAGAAACAGAGAGAGTGAGACAGATAGAAAGAGAGATAGAGAGAGAGCGGAGGGGAAGGGGACACACGAGAGTCTGTGCCAAGACGAGAAGGCTGAGTGACAGTGTCGCCACCTGGGCGAGGATCGGGAAATTAGCGCCTCGGAGCTGGAGACGGTCCAGCGAGGATACTCGTTTTTAGACCATTTTTAATTAAATGTGAGGGGCCTCATATCTCACTGTCCGTTTTACCTCGTAATACTAAATATCTTCCCCATTGAAAAATAAACATGCCCCGAGAGAATTTCATATTATTTATACTTCCTTTTCAAAGGGGCACGGGCCACCTAGTTGGATGTTCAATGGCCGCGTAATGTAAACAAATTTGTGAAAAGATACCTGGAGTCAAGCCAATATTTATTTAGCAATTATGAATTGACGTGCGATAACCTAATTGCCCAAAACACTAAAAAAAAACTGTAAGATTTTAAGCGCAGGCTTCTAATTTCGCATACAATATGGTTTAAAAATTGTGTTATTTGCTGTTTACTTCAGCACACAGTATTTCCCAGTATTTTGGTCAAGTCTAACTAAGAATTATAACGTTCAGAATGTCTATTCATTGACCAAACTTAAAATTACTCACATAATTGTTGGTACAATGGCATTCAAACAACATGGATATTATTTTGTATGAAGTATTGAGATGATAAATGAGTCTAAGGATACCATAGCTGCCGAAACGTCACATAAATAATGAAAATAATATGGAATAACAAAAAACAAAAAAATGAAAATTAATACAGTTTAAAATAATTTGAATGTATGAACATTTTCACTATAAACTTAAAAATAAAATAATCTTTTTTTGAGTTATTTGGTAGAGATATTGTAGTTTTCATTTCATTATATTTTGGTGTAATTTCATCGGTAAATGTAGCCATATTTTTACTGTTCAAGTGTGAAATTCTCTTGCACATTATATTATTTATACTGCTGATGAAAGATGTACTATATTTGGTTTGCATATAATCATGTTATATTTTTTCATCTTGGATTTATTTATTTTCACTCCGTTTTAGTCCTGACGATATCTGAAGCGTTGAACCGTTACAAAATAGAAAAACTGTCCAAAATACAATATCAATTGATTAAAAGAAAAACTAAATTTTTTTTTTCTTATTAATTGGATGTCTATTATTAGTAAGATTTTAAAAATGATTTTTTCTTAATTCTTCCTTCACTTAATTTTAAATTAAACAATTCATTCAGGTATATGGCCATCTAAAGGGTAAAAAATCAAATAATATTCTAGGTCAATTGTTTAATCAAGATGAACGAAGGAGATGGTCCGGATTGGTGGTCATAAATAGGCTAAATAGTGTTAACTTATTTTATTAAAAGCCAACGTTTCGACCCGACTTCGTAGGTCTTCTTCAGGGCTAGAACGGACAAGATACAAAAAGATAGAGAATTGTGGAAATACATAATATTTAGACAAAAAATTATAAACAATGTGAACAGAGTAAGCTAAGTAGCAAGATCCTAAACTGAACTAAATAGATGCTAAAAAATAAAAAATACTGAAATAAATAGATGCTTTTGTTAATATCTATTTACTTCAGTTTAGGATCTTGTTACTTAGCTTACTCTCTTCATATTTTAATGTACTTACTATTTATAATTTTAATAACCTCCTTCACATTGTTTATAATTTTTTGCCTAAATATTATGCAATTTCAACAATTCTCTATCTTTTTGTATCTTGCCCGTTCTAGCCTTGAAGAAGACCTGCAAAATCGGGTAGAAACGTTGGGTTTTAATAAAATAGTTTTACCACTATTTAGCCTATTTATGACCGCCACCCCGGACCATCTCCTTCCTTTAAAATGCAACGGTCAACTATTAAATATTCAATTTAATCAAAATGGTTTATTTAATATTATTTTCTTTATTAAGTGAGGTCTGAACTTAAGGACTTTTTTATTATTATTTTTTTTTTCAAATGTTTTAAGGTACTCCACTGATTTTAAACACAATTTTTCACGGAATAAAATTATAACGAAATGCCATGTTTAATTGGAATTATTGTGCTTGAAAGAAATTATTCGAAATTAACTTATTTCACAGCCATGATTTTTTTTGTAAGTTGATCCTCTACTAAAAACCAAGACCGGCTTCTCCTCGAGCCTCCACTAGTTGTGAATCCGGTTCCGAGCCGACGCGGAGAGTAATGCCTGGTTCAGGGGAAGAGGCGAGGTGTGGCGACCAAACGCTACGATTTAGCGACAAAGGGATACACGGCAGCTGCACGGCGGCAGATGTGGCGGAGATCACACCCCACACAATAGGCCTGTCACCTAGCACCCCAGGCCGGCTACTGTCGCAGTATAAACAGCAGCTTATGCACGCTAATGTCACGGCAGCGATTAGCGACAATCCATTTCACCATCTGACGTGTCCTGGAAATTTAACAATGTAATGAGTATATGAAGTTGTACGCGATCTGTAGCGAAAGTCTTCTAGGAGGTTCTTGAAGGATTCTGGAGGTATTAGTAGTCAGTGTGGAAAAGATTCACATGTATCGACCAACACATAGAAGATTAAAAATAATTATACATTATACGCTATATGGACATTATTATATATAGGTACATAGATAGATAGAAAGTAAACTTTATTCTGGGACGAGGTCCCTTATGAATAACAGATATGAACAAAAAAATAAAAACTACATCTGGCCATAAATTACATTAATCAATATTAAAGAATCTCAGTAAAAAAATACTAAAACAAGTAAAATAACACCATTTTGAAAAAAAAACAACAACATTATTTAAATGAAAAAACAAAACAAAATAATGTAAGAATGGGTTCATTTTTAAAATTAAAACTCAATCAATTTTAACAACCATTCATCTCAGTCAAAATCTGTTTCCCAATATTTATTTCATTGTACAACATCATTTTGGGATGTGAGAAGGAATTGGTAGAGATGATACTAAGGAAGAGGCATGGCGGATATCAGATGGCAAGGAATTCCAGAAGGCAGTGGATCGGGCAATAAAGAAACATTCAAATGTCTTAGTTCTATGGGAAGGGATATAAAGGTCGGAAACACGGGATCTTGTTTTCTGGGAGAGGTTTGAACTGTAGGAGACAGCAGATGTAGGAAGGGTGTCGGGTGTTGATCGTTTGGAATAGGAAAGATCCAAGGAAATATTGTCTGCGGAAAGAAGGGAAGAGCCACTTTAACTCGTCGTAAAGGTGGGACACATGAGACCGCCTCGATGTACCGAAGGTAAATCTATAAGTCCATTATACAAGCATATATGGACTTATAGAGTTGAGCTATGGGCTCTACTTAATCATCTAATTCCTCTCGTATACAATAATTATCATCCGAAATCCTTGGTAAAATCCTCAATTCTTCCTACTTTGTTACAAATAAAATCATCCATAAATCCAGATACCTATCCTCATATAATAAACTTCAGAATCATCCGAACCCTCTCTTTTCTAACCTTGATTCCTTTCCCTATGTTGCGTCAGAAAAGAAGATGGCCCCGTGATCTCCTACTGTAGACATATCATTAGAGTCCTACCATTAGGTAGTTTCCCAACAAGTATTTTCATAGCACCATATTCATTTGTTCACATTTACTAGATGTATTTTTATTTTTTAATACTGTTGAAAATAACATAAATAAAAAAAACTGCACCACTACAACCCATGGAAGATCTTGAATTTAAGGAAAGCACTTTTCTTTGTCACCGGTTGTGCAAGGATATAAACAAAAGGATACAAGCACATAAATAAAATATGAACAAAATAAGAAAAATATTTTTACACATTGGAAAACATTTCCGAAAAATAAATATCACAAGACGGAGGTAACTTTGGGACTGGGTGGGTAATTTTGGGACAGTGTATGAAGTGTAGTTATGAATATTCAGATCTACGAGCATGAATTATTCTTGAGAATAATCTATATAAATAAAATAAAGGTTTTGTCTGTACATTGAATAGAATCAATCCGTTTCATACATTACAGACACCAAATCCACTTTTAAAATTTTTTATGTCTGTCTGTATGTCCGCATTAGTGCTGCCCAAATGAGAGACCGAGACGAGTCTTGGTCTTGCAAACTCAATCTACGTCATGGTCTTGGTCTTACGCAAGACTCTCGAAACAGTCTTGCAGTTACTTATTAGGTTATTACTATAGGGATATTTTTTTTTTTTTTTTTACTTTATTCAGAAATATTACAATTTGTCACAGTTAAGGACACTTATAATAGAGTTCAGAGATTGCATTCATACCGTATATACAAAAATATAAATAAATAAAGTAATAACAAAAGAATAAGAAGAAAGAACAAAAGAGTAAAGAAAAAAAAAATAATATATATACACATAAGTAAATAAAAATAGAAATAAAAGTAAAACAAACACCTTATATAAAACATACCTATATACATTATTTACAATTTGCCAGGGATCTCCTAAGCCTCCCTTTCCCCTCCACATGTGGAGGGGAAAGGGAGGCTTAGGAGATATAGGGATATTACTGTATCTTTTTAGATAGGAGAAACCTAACTAAGGCTGAATGAAAAATTAGACGAGTTGAATGCAAAAGTATATTAGTTATATCAATTATTAACATATAGTAATTAAGATTGTCAATTATTAGCAACTTTTTAGAATTAATTTTTATTTAAAAAATTCGGGTCTTGGTCTTGCAACAGTTAGGCGACCTTGGTCTTGGTCTCGCAAAGTGCACACCAAGACCGATTTTGGATAACACTAGTCCGCATTGTCCAACGAAATTTTGTCATGGTTAAGCTCCGCAATGGCTAATGGCAGACTTTTGAAATTTTGACATTACATTTAGATTTGATTGACTTAAAACATAGGTTTATATGAAAACAAAATATTGAGTAGAACCAAAGTTATGAATTCTTGAATAATTTGTCTAGACATCTCGGTTAGGCAGTTACTTACTTCCATTCTCATCCCAACCTCTACCAAAAGTCACATTTAAAATTTGTACTATTCAACTAATAGAAAAAAATATTACAATTCAATGGGAAAACACCGAACATCTGTAAAGCATTGAACACACTCATTTTTCATCTTTTTCGGATCTTCCCGTTCAAGGTGTCATTCGATTCAACTTCCCGAGCCTAACAAATGTTGCCTTATAAATTTTTAGGATTAACCAAACGGATTAGGCAAAAATAAAAACAACTCTTAAAATTAAACCCTCCCCCCACTTAATTTTGATATTAACTTTGGATCCTCCCCTTCCCTCCCCCTATAATACAGATCCATCTCAAAAAAAGATTTTCAAATTTTAACTATGCACCCGTCAACGACGTGTACATCAGCTAGTTTGATATAATTGGAATATTCCGAAACCAAAAATCCCAAAATTATTGAACTTCGTTAATTATTTTTAAGTAAATGACAGAAACTTTCTTTTTTATTAAGTATATAATTGGTACGAGCAGTAAACCAAATAATAAATAATTAAAAAATTAGAGGAAATGATGCTATAAAAAAACAGAGATCTTATCTCAATAAGAGATATAAATATTATACTATGTCACGATGTAGAGGACTGCATGCAGAAACGAATATTTAGCTATTTTTAATTATTTCCTTTGATAAAAAAATTATAACTTGCTTATATTATTTTAGAAACAATTCTGTTAATCAATTGTTTTTTTCAATTCATGCATATACATTTCAATACATACATATACATTCTACATACATTACACTACGAATTTTAAATGAGAAACAAGCGTTTCCATAGAAACTAAATAGAATATGGATAGTAAATATGAAAAGCACAGAAATTTAATAATTTATATTAATTGTAAAAAGTTTGTATTTAAAAATGAAGTAAAAGTTTTTTAACTTAAATATAATTTCTACCCAAAGTACAGTGGTAAGTGAAAGTTGTGTGATGCATTGCACCAATTTTTTTTTTTTTGTATTGTGATCTTAAAAATATAACTTTTTATTATCAACCTTCTTATTTTTTATTAACATATTAAAAATAACTCACTGTAGTATCATTTGATATAGATAATACTATTCAACTCCGATAATTGACTACAGATCGTGTGTTTGATCAATCACTCATCAGACTCATTCAATCCCAAAACTATTACATCAAGAAATTAGTTACAATCCGTTTTTTGATGCTACTAGTCGGTTATTTACCTAATCCCAAAAATTTGTCAAAAACGCGTTCTATCCTCCCCTCCTCCCCCCACAATGTTTATACATATTTTGACCCAACTAAATTTTTTTTGTAAATTTTATATAAAATATACAATGATCTTTTTTTTACTTTCCTGCCAAAATATTGGGTAAGGAAAGCATTATGATCAGGTCAAATTTCCGATATACGGTTTTCGACGTATTAATACGTTTTACAGGTCCCTGGTTTTTGATAGGTAATGAAATTTTCTACAAAACTATATAAAAATCGTTAATTACAACTATTCAATTTCCAAAGATTACGGATTCATATCCTGGGGTCGAAAAGCGGCGAATGAGAGAAAAAAAATAACTAAGTGAAAGTAAGAAAATCAGTAGCCCTCATCACACACGCTTCACTATTTCCTCTACTTTTAACAGAAATTATTGTTTGATAATACTAAGCTATGGCAAAAAGTTTTTAATCAGCAATATTCGAGAGTATTGTTATTTTTACACTGATCTACCTTAAGCCAGTTTACATTGCTTTAGTTATTCAAGTAAATCGTACTCAAATCTTTTCTTTCATAAATTTTTAGGAAAATATATCTAATTCAATTTTTTTTTTTTTTTGTTTCTTGATGGTCATATGAGATATAAAAAAATTTCCGAAATAGGTAGAAAAGACGTGTGAGTGGAAACACCAGATTTTTTTTCTTTAGAGAAGAAAGGGCACACTGTATAAATTAAATTTTCTATATAATAAATAATAATAATACATAAAATTCACTTATTTGATCTCTCGTTTACGCTCTAAATTAGAAGCAATTTATAAAAAAAAATAAAATATTAACTTTTATTCATAAGTTGTGTCCCCTTTGATCGAGGAATATGGTTTGGACGTCAAAAGTGATTACAAATATTTTTATCAACAGCGTTGGTAAGAATCACAGCATGACCCCGATTAGTAAAGTTATCTTATCGTAGAGCCACTAAAAGAGGAACTATATTTATAAGACCTTAATAAAATATCAGTCCTATATATTTAAAAAATATGATTAGGAATAAAAAAGTTAGTCTAAAAAACTGAAAGAAATTAAAATAGTAAAAAAATAATGTAATTTTTATTTAATAAATTGATTAAAAATCAACCATTTATTACAAATCGTAATTATATATTATTAAGTTGTCCGGAAAATAATGCAGGATTTTGAGTTTTCTTTTTTAAAATAGTCCTCTATATAACAAACTGTTTACGTTTAAAGAATTATTTATTTTTATGAAAGTCTACACTTATTAATCTTCTTCCAAACGATGTTTGTTTACCTGTGTAGTATTTCGCTTCTTAGAAATAATTCAGTCTTCACTAAGATATCAAGATTCCACACACATTAAACGACAGTAAAAAAAAAAAAAAAACCAGCGTTATGAAGTTTGTGCTACACTTTTATCATATCTAGTTCTGCCATAAATACTGTTACGAAAGTTGAACATTTACATGTCAGGATAATAATCCCAATTAGTTAATACTTTTCTTTCCCTCAGTTAATATGTAGTGGGGTGATAAAGAAAACCGAATAACTGTGATCGCCTTACAAAAAGTTGAAATGTATGTCAGAGATTTTTAACAAGTTGAAATCTGTGGGTATATACACTATAAATAAATATAATGAGACCCTATCTGTATGTGATAGACCTTGGCTATGAGTAGCTGCTGGAATCAGAAGAAATCCCATTCGAAAACAACAAATCAAGTCTCGGAAAATGGGTGTCTGTCCGATCAATGTCTTGCATGAAGTGACCTTAGGGTGGGTGCATTTTGAAGAATGACTGGACAATGGTCTTCATCGAACGATTTTGTTTAGCGATAAGAAATTTTTTACAAATCCTGAAGAAGTACTGCGTGCTGCTAACGCCAGTGTCAAAGCAAAATATTTACTTAATATTTTGTTTTCATTTAAAGCCTATGTTTTAAGTCAAGCAAACCTTAATGTCGAAATTTCAAAAATATACCATTAGCCATTGCTGAGCTTACCCTTGACATAATTTCGTTGGATAATGCTGACATACAGACAGATATAATTTTTTTTTTTTTACAGTGGATTTTGTATCTGTAATGTATGAAAGTA